TGTCATTTAAAGCCTTTATTTCCTTGTTGATCTTTTGCTTGGATGATCTGTCCATTTCAGTGAGGGGAGTGTTAAAGTCCCCTACTATTATTGTATTATTGTCAATGTGTTTCTTTGATTTTGTTATTAATTGGTTTATATAATTGGCTGCTCCTATGTTAGGGGCATAGCTATTTAAAATTTTTAGATTTTCTTGTTGGACAGATCCTTTAAGTATGATAGAGTGTCCTTCCCCATCTCTTATTATAGTCTTTGGCTTAACATCTAATTTATCTGATATAAGGATTGCCACTCTAGCTTTCTTTTCATGTCCATTAGCATGGTAAATAGTTTTCCACCCCTCACTTTAAATCTGGAGGTGTCTTTGGGTCTAAAATGAGTTTCCTGCAGACAGCATATCCTGCAGATGGATCTTGTTTTTTTAATCCATTCAGATACCCTGGGTCTTTTTTTTTTTTTTTTAAAGATTTTATTTATTTATTTGACAGACAAAGATTACAAGTAGGCAGAGAGGCAGGCAGAGAGAGAGGGGGAAGCAGGCTCCCAGCCGAGCTGAGAGCCCGATGTGGGGCTCAATCCCAGGACCCTGAGATCATGACCTGAGCCAAAGGCAGAGGCTTTAACCCACTGAGCCACCCAGGTGCCCCACCCTGTGTCTTTTGATTGGGGCATTTAGCCCACTTACATTTGGGGTAACTATTGAGAGATATGAATTTAGTGCCAGTGTATTGCCTGTAAGGTGACTGTTACTGTGTATTGTCTCTGTTCCTTTCTGGTCTGTTACTTTTAGGCTCTTTCTTTGTTTAGAGGACCCCTTTCAATATTTTCCATAGGGCTGGTTTGGTGTTTGCAAACTCTTTTAATTTTTGTTTGTCCTGGAAGCTTTTTTTTTATCTCTCCTTCTATTTTCAGTGACAGCCTAGCTGGATATAGTATTCTTGGTTGCATATTTTTCTCGTTTAGTGCTCTGAATATATCATGCCAGTCCTTTCCGGCCTGCCTGTCTCTGTGGAGAGGTCTGCTGCCAGTCTAATATTTCTGTCATTGTATGTTACAGACCACTTGTCCCAAGCTGCTTTCAGGATTTTATCTTTGTCACTGAGACCTGTAAGTTTTACTATTAGGTGATGGGATGTGGACATATTTTTATTGATTCTGAGAGGGGTTCTCTGTGCCTCCTGGATTTTGATGCTTGTTCCCTGTAACCGTCCCTCAGAACAATGTATTACTTAAAATATAACCCATGAGAAATTAGCTAGTCACCAAGCATGCTTAAAGATAGCCTTAAGAAAAACCTGTACTAGCAACAGGCCTCTGTGGGAGAGGATGACATGTCCTTGAAGCCGAGCAGCTGGAAACACCTGGCCTGCTCAAGATGGAACGCTGCCTGCTTATCTTTCTGTTATCTCCCCTTCCCGGAGAGCACCTGCAGTTAGTTAGACAATCCTTTTTGTCTGGTCTTGCTCAACTATAGGTCATGTACTACGTGACCAGACATATTTTGCCTTTCTTCTTACTTATCTACAAGACTCGTGCTTAAAAGCAATCAGTCCCTCCTGTCTCCTTGGTCTCTGGCCATGTTCCGTGCTCACCTGGCCTGAAACCAAGCATTTCTATCTCTGGCACACGGCCCCATTTGGAGTCTCCAAATCCAGCTGATTCCTTCAGTGTGCTGCCCCACCCCTCCTCCTGGAGGAGGAAGGAGGGACTCTCCCCGGATCTACACTTGTGGGGTCCCTGCTTGAAGAGCAGTGGCCCAACTGTGCTTTGGATCACGGTTTAAGGTAACCCTGAGCTGAGAGCCCCCACCTCAGCTCCGTCTCTGTAGTCAGCTTCACTGCTGTGATACCTGGGAGCTCTGCCACACTCAGACACCCCCGGTCTTTCTGTGACCCCACAGTTCCTGAGACCACACTGTCCTGTGAGGGTTCCATGCCCCGCTTAGCCTCTGGAGCGACATCTCTCAGTGAAGTGGACTTCTATAAGTTCCGATTTTGTGCTCCACTGCTCTACCACTTGCCAGGAGCCAGTCCCCCCCGCCACAGTCTCTCTTCCCAAATGTTGCCTCAGATTCACTTCGTGCGTCCTACCTTCCAGGAAGTGGCGCTTTTCTATTCCTATTGTTGCTGCTCTTCTCTTTGATCTCCCATTGAGTTTGTAGGTGTTCAGAATGGTTTGTTAACTATCTGGCTGAACTCCTGGGACCTGATGATATTTCGGTCTCCTATTCCTCCACTATCTTGCTCTTCCCCTAGTTTGTTGAATTTTCTTGAGTTACTATAAATTTTTAAATGTTCATGGTACATTATTTCTTTAAAAGATTTTATTTTTATTTGACAGAGAGAGACAGTGAGAGCAGGAATACAAACAGGGGGAGTGGGAGAGGGAGAAGCAGGCTTCCCGCCAAGCGGGGAGCCTGATGCGGGGCTCGATCCCAGGACCCTGGGATCACGATCTAAGCCGAAGGCAGACGCCTAACAACGGAGCCACCCAGGTGCCCCATTAATTTTTTTTTAAGATTTTATTTATTTGACACACACACAGAGATCACAAGTAGGCAGAGCAGCAGGCAGAGAGAAGTGGGTAGCAGGCTCCCCACCAAGCAATGAGCCCGATGTGGGGCTGGATCCCAGGACCCTGAAACCATGACCTGAGCCAAAGGCAGATGCTTAACCCACTGAGCCACCCAGGCACTCCCCTGTTAATGTTAAGAAACAGCCACTGATTAAAATCCAAGTTTCATTTCCTGCCACCTTAAAACATTACAAAAGGCATCCTGATTTCTTATATATTTTTTCCAGATAAAATACAGGATTCATATGTTTATTCTCAAAAAGGCAATTTAGATTTTTTTTTTCAGCTTAGTATTAGCCATTCTAGCTAATTCTTTGATCACAAAGCACCTGATTAGTCTTAGGAAAGGATTTTCTGTGTTTGTGTGTGTGTGTGTGTGTGTGTGTGTGTATGTGTAGGTTTGCTAGGACTGTCCACACACTGGGTGGTTTAAACAATAGAAAATTATTCTGCCAACTCTTGAGGCCAAAAGTCCAAGATCAAGGTGTTGGCGGTGTTGGTTCTCTGAAGTTCCTCTCCCTGGCTTGTAGGTGGCTGTCTTTTCCCTGTGTCTCCACATGGTCCTCCCTCTGTGTCCTAATCTCTTCTTTAAAGGACCCTAGTCGGGGCGCCTTGGGTGGCTCAGTAGGTTAAAATCTCTGCCTTTGGCTCAGGTCATGATCTCAGGGTCCTGGGATCAAGCCCCGCATCGGGCTCTCTGCTCAGCGGGGAGCCTGCTTTCCCCCTCTATCTCTCTCTGCCTGTCTCTCTGCCTACTTGTGATCTCTGTCAAATAAATAAATAAATAAAGGACCCTAGTCATATTGGATCAGTCATCCCAACCTCCCCATGTGACCTCATTTTTCCCTTAATTACCTCTTTAAAGTCCAACCCTCCAAATACAGTCACATTCTGGAGGTACCTAGGGTTATGACCTCAACATATGAATTTTAGGGGCACACACACACACACACACACTATATATATATATATATATATATATATATATATAGTAGTGAGATAGTCATTTTTCTTCTTTAGTAACTCATAGACTCTGATTAAACATGACAGATCACACACACGTGTTTATCCCTATTCCTTCCCAAAACGCCATCAGAACAATGGTGAATGAGTAAGATGGTACACATTCACAAGGAGAAAGGAGATGGGAGGGGAGACAACCAGGGACGAGATACAGGACGCGTTCTACAAGACGGCATGGAAGGAACCACGGTAGCTGTCCGAGCTCCCTGCAGCCCAGGGTCTTTCTGGTGCCCCCAGAGCACATTGCGAAGGAAGCTGCCAGCTCCGTGTGGAGATCCATGGCGGGGTGAATAGGGACGGGGAGAAAATCTGTGCCAAACACTGGGCCATCAGTCACTAAGTATTCGGGAAGGTAAATGAGACCCTGTTTTGGGCAATTAGCTTAGGGCCTGGGGCCAGAGAAATGGCCAGGCTGGTTCCCGGCCCACCGAGTCCCTGAGCCCACTCATATTTGCTCAGGATGCACGCGAGCTGAGCAGTATTTGGACAGCTCCCCCCATCCCACACTAACTTTGTTAATTCCATCACACCCTTCCGCTGAGCCTGTGGCCTCCCAGGAGCCATGTGAGAGCCCTGAATTTCTCACCAGCAAGGATGGGACATGCAGGATCAAGACCGACTGTGTGTGCTTGTGATACAGGGGTTGCTGGACACCAGAATCCACTCTGACAGAGAGGCCTTCCTTCCTGGTGTGGTTTTAGGGCTTGGGAAGCAGGGGAAGGGGTCAAATGACTCCTCAAGGTCCCATGGGGTTTGAAGATGTCTGTATTTCTGGGAAGAATGTCCTGAAATGTGTGTCTGAGGATTCTAGGGACTGGTCACTCAGGAGAGCCGAAGAAGAAGGCGGCCCTACAGAGGCGGGGCTGGGGCGGGGGTGGGGCGGCAGGCAAGGCAGCCCACATCTCATGGAGAAGAGACTGGGTCAAGACCACCAGATGCTTGGGCTCCTTGGTCAGGGGGAGGGGGAGGGGAGGGCGGCTTGGCCAGGCTTGGCCAGGCTTGGCCAGGGTCAGCCAGAGTCAGCCAGGGTCGGGGTCAAGGTCTGGCGGCAAGATTGCAGCTGGGAGGCCTGTGGGTGGACGGGAGGGAGGTCTCAGAGGGCTGTCTGCCAGGAGGCCGGTCCTAATGGGGTAGGGAGGAGCCTTGGGCAGGCTGGGAGCTGGAGGGGCCCAAGGGGTGGGAGTGGGAGGAGATGGGGGCTGACCAGGAGGAGTGGAGGGGGCAGGAAGTGGCTGACAGCCTGGCCTAGAGTCAGCCACGGGAAGCAGAGACCCCGAGGCACAGAAGAGGTGAGGAGGGGAGAGAGGGCGAGGGAGGCAGCCGGGTGTAAGGAGACCAGCCAAAGGGAGCAGCTCCAAGGGTGAGATCTATCAACCCCGTCTGTAAGTCCTTGTTTTAAGGCAACACCCTGAGATCTCTCCCTGAGGGGACCTCCGTTTCCACATCTGCAGCTTTCTGGTCCTAAGACCACCAGTACACACAGAGTTTTTGGGGGGAGTCCGTGACTCAGGCAACCCCAGTCACGGATAAGGGGACAGGATCAGGAGGTCTAGCAGAGGGGTGGAGGGAAGGCCCCAGAAAAGAGTTAAGGGAGGGAGGGGCTGCCTAACGAAGAAAGCCATGGTGGGGCTGAGGTGAGACTCCGGGGTCTGGGGTCAGGGGTAGGGCCAGTGATCAGGAGCGGCCCCAGCATAGGGAGGGTTAAGCATCCTCCCGGTTCCCACCCCACTCTGGGCCCCTCCCCTGTGTTTGCGTCCTCCCAAAACTATTTGGCCTCCAGCTGGCCTCCATTCTATATCCTGCCCCTCCCCCTTGAGTTAGCCTGGGGGAAGAAGGGGGTGCTGGGGCCAGGGTTCCCAGGACTGGGAAGGAGCCCGCAGGCTCAGAGTGCTGAGGGAGAAGCAGACCTGGAGAGGCTGAGGTGGGGAAGCCGAGGGGGGCTCTGAGAGCAACGGGCAGGAAAGGGGATCAGAGACAAAGTGGGGGAGAAGGAATGGGCCAGAAAGGGTTGGGGGAAGGGTGCGAGTGGGCAACAGGAGGGCTTCCCAGGCTGTTGGCCTGAGGACAAAAGCCAACTCAGCACCTACCCGGGAGGAGGCCAAACATGGGCAGAGCTGGGCCCAGGGAACAGTGCGGGGGTAGGGAGGCATTCGAGGACCAAGGGTATACCAGGGGGATCTCGACCGAAGGGCCACCTCCTGGCCTTCCAAGCCCAGCCCGGAGCCCTGTCAGGCACCCCCCCGCGCTCCCCCCCAGCTCCGGGGCCAGGTGCTGGCGGCGCTGCGGGCCGGCATGAAGAGCTGAGAACCCAACACTGTCGGCAGGGCCGGGGGGACCGACGCGACGCCATGTGGCAGCTGCTGATGCCGCTGGCCCTGTGGCTGGGCGCAGTGGGCCTGGGCAGAGCCGAGCTCACGGCAGCACAGCAGCGCGGCCTGCAGGTGGCCCTGGAAGAGTTCCACAAGCACCCGCCTGTCCAGTGGGCCTTCAGGGAGACCGGCGTGGACAGCGCCACGGAAACGGTGAGCGTGAGTGGCTTCGCCAAGCGGCGTTGCCTGGGGCGGGATGGGGCTCAGGGCCGCAAGCTCGTTCCTGGGAAGCAGGTGCCCAAGCCCTCGGGCTCGATGAACACCCAGTTCTCCAGGGAGAGGCCAACACCCCAGCCCCCTTCTCAGCTGTTTCCTGGGGGGCTGGGGAGGAGGAACGGGTCACACCCGGGAGTGCTCAGTGAGCTCAGCCGGCTGCTGGCCCTTCTCTGTCTGCGGCAGCCCTTCCCTGCAGGGACCTTTGTGAGGCTGGAATTTAAGCTCCAGCAGACCAGCTGCCGGAAGAAGGACTGGAAAAAAGCGGAGTGCAAAATCAAGCCCAACGGGGTGAGTTGCAGGCGTGTGTGTGTGTGTGTGTGTGTGTGTGTGTGTGTGTGTGTGAGAGAGAGAGAGAGAGAGAGGGAGGGAGGGAGAGACGGGGCATGTGCTCAGGGCAGGGGTCTGTGACAGGGGTTTAGGAAGAGAGCCAGCAGGAAGCCCCGGTTGGAGCAGCGGTCCCTCAGGAGAGCGGCCTCTCTGGGAGCTCACCTGGCCCAGTCTGAGCCGGGCCCTGTGACACCATGGGTGGCCAGGGCTGGGCTACTCTGAGAACATCTGTTCTTCAGAGAGAGTCCCCCTCCCGTCTGGGCTCCTCTCTCGGGCTTCGGGTCTATGGTGGAGGAAGCCCAGGGCAGGGGGTTTGGC